CAGATTGAAATGCAACTGGAACAGTGAATTTTATTTATAGTGATGAGAGCAGACAGATCCAAAAAACGAGAAACAAAAGAGAAACCAAAACACTTGGCAAACACCCTGAACTAAGCTATGCTATGCTAACTTGGCTATTGCTAATGCTAAGGCTAAGGCTAAGGCTACTGCACAAACATGACATGAAACGAAGACTCGCTATAGTCGCAATCTAGTCTTCATTGAATTACCCGCGCCGTGTGTAGCACGGCTCAAGGTATATATGCACACACATGATTAGTTCCAAACTGCAAACAGCTGCCGGCAATACCAAAACACACGTGACACATGACAAAACGGGACGAAGACATGACGTCAACCCGGAAGAAGCATGCGCATCAGCGCTCAAAGCACGCTGCTGCACAGGGGAATCATGACAGATAGTCTCTGTTACAGGTACATTGAGAGAGTAAGAGGGAGAGAGGAGGGGTTCCAGGCCATGTGCACCCAGGTGTGCGTTTGAGTTTTGACAGTTGGCAAGATAAGTGATTTAACTATCCTATTGGCCATGTTTGGGGTATGGCCCGAACTGTCATTCCATCTGGTGTATCATTCCGATTGTTGTATATAAAACAGACATGAAATAGACAAGTCTGAGACCAAGTATGAGTAGTATGTCATTTTATTGAGAGTTCACTGGACTGGTGGGAAAGTAATCCAGGGTAGAGCGGTAGGGAGAAAATGGGTGGTAAAACGGAGTATGTGCTGGGGATGTTGGATAGCCAGCTGATGTGTACGGAAGGGAATAGTCAGGACTGGCAGGTGAAAAAGCGGGAGAGAGGTCAGAACCTGGGTCAGAGAAGGCCGTGTCATCATCAGTCATATAGTTGGAGGAAGGGACAGCAGGCAGAGGGTCGGTCTGTGTAGAGACATCCACACACACATTTGCTGGGCGAGAGATTTGCTATATCTGAGAGGTGGGGGGAACCCTGCATTTCCAGAGGGGGTACAAAGAACTTTGAGCAGCATAGTGATATCGGCAGTGAGATGCGCAAGCTGATAGCTAGTGTTCAGATGCAAATCCAGCCCCTCCAGTAAAAAAAACTGACGTTCACCTAAGACACATAGGAGAGAATGAACTGTATTAGGGATGTGACACTGATGATTGAGATTTACACTTTGGATGTAACATTTAGATTTATTTAAAATTTTATTATTAACACTGATCCCTAAAACTGCTATTTGACACAATGGGGAAAATGGGGAAGTAAAAGGAAAGAAACACACAGAGGCAGAAGTCCAACTAAGACATACACACACACACACACACACACACACAAAGGCCTGGTGTATATGCAGAAAACAGAAATAAAATATTATAGAGTAATGTACATGCAAGCACTATAAAAAAGAAATGCAGAACAAATATAAAACTTACTCATGGTGTGTGATGGGGTGTAGAGTCCTTTCTCACGAAAATCCAGTCAGGAGTGACACAGACGAAGGTCAGGTTATTTTTTATTATTAAGAGTGAAACAAGTCAAAACATAAGGGTACTGGAGCCAGACTGCACCTGCAAGATAAGGGGCTCTGGGAACAGCGAACACCTGTGCGATAAGGGTCACTGGGAACAGGCCAATTGACTTATGTAATGGTGTTTTGGGGACAGCTAACTTTAAACTTATTGGTGTCTGGGTCAGCCTGACCCTAAGAAAACCATATGTGTGTTGGAACAATAAACTTGGACCCTTCCTTCCTCTCACTCACTGGCTCTCGGTGTCTTCTTATTCCTTCATCTGGTTAATATATGTAAGTATCTGTTTCTATGTTAAATATTAATTGTCTTTGGGTAATAGGCAAAATTCTATGCAACAATTGGCACCCAGATGGGATTGGGCTAAGACCCGTAAGTCTGTGATCTCTCCCGTGGGACTTCACACTCTAAGGCAACAGATAGGCCGTGTAGGAAAAAGGCACTGCAGACGCTTGTTATTTCAAAGCTCTGTCATAGTGATCTGTTGTCAAGAGTGAGAAGCTCTAGGGTGGGAAAAAAGATGGCGTTGATCTCCAAAAGAGCCTAGTATAGTAAGGGTTATCTGAAATATATGGGCCACTGAGTGAGTGAGAAAAGGTAAGAGAAGTGTAAACTGGGTGTCATTTTCATTTTATGAAATGGTACATATTAACGTGTGTGCGTGTGTGTGTGTGTGTGTGGTGTGAGAAAGTCCTGCGATACCACTGAGAGATTCAGGTTTGCATAGAAGGCAGGTGAAAATGATGCCTCAAACCCCAGATACTGCCCACGAGGTGTGGGGGCTGCTTGGTGGGGAACCCCTGATATCACTGAGAGAATCCTGGTTCCAGGTCCAGGTCAACGCAACTCAGGGAAAGGACCTGACAGGAGAAACGTGCCCAGTGAATGAGTGTGACGTAACAATTGTGTGTGATGCCAAAAATGTGTGTAATAGGTACCTGTGTGTGAGTTTGTGTGTGTGTTCTTATCTGTGCAGGCAGGCCTGCTTCTGTGTCAAAGAAAAAAAGAGGGAAAAAGACATATAACCTAAGATTAATCCATCCATCCATCTTTTACTGCTTATTCCTTCTTCAGGGTCACAGGGGACCTATGAACAGCTATGCCAAACAAAAAGAGAGAGGTTAGCCATATGGAGCGAACAGAAAAAAGGACTAAGAGCAAAAGGAAAATGTATGAAGAAAGAGCAGATAGTGGAATGGTTTGCGAAAAAAAGGGAAGGAGGACAAGGAAAAGGATAGATGGCAGAAAGAATGAGCAGAGACGGCAGAAAGGAAGAAAGAAGAAAGGGAATTGAACCTAGCAAAAAAGATAAAGGAGGCCATCCAGAAAGAAAGGGCCGAGGCGGAGAAGGAAGCAGAAAGTGTGGGAACCACGGGAGAGGCAGGGGGAGCCCAAGCCTCCACCCCCATATAACCCACAGTTCCACCCACCGGTGAAACCCACCAGATGTGCACTGCCTGCCAGGCTATATATGATGCAAGGGGTGGAGATCAGAGAAGAAGAATGGAAGCAAACTGAGGTGGACATTCAGGGAACATTCACCGGATATCAAAGAATGAGACATCCCACGCGTGAGGGTGAATAACTAATCAAGATGGAAGGAGGGGCTACTGGACAAGAGGATGAAAGCCCAGTAGAAACGTAGCCTGCAGCTGGATCTCCCACATGTAGGCAATAAAGAAAGGGATAGGGAATTGCAGGAATACATGAAAAATCGAACTTACACTCCGGTGTGGCCGGAGCACAGGGAGTTCCCCACTAGCACCCCAAGGCCAGAGTTTGGTATGAGTGACCATGCGACACAGCAAATAGTGTGGGAGCAGAGAGATGGGGGAATCAAAGGAGGTACGTGATCAAGATGAGCGCCACACCAAAGAGCGGGCATGTCGTAGGTGTGAGGGAGAGTAATGGGCTGAAGTCAGAAGACAAGAGGCTTCACATACTGGAGAAGTAGAAGAAGGGGGGCCAAGACTGAATAATGGGCGAGTGGTCCGAATAGAAGGGGATGTGGTGCTCACCCCATACTTGACAGAGGAAGAACATGAATTGGCAGGCAGAGTGCAGCGTCTGGAAAGGGGAATATATGGCGGGTATAATGGATGAATAGGAAGAGCTCGCAGGTAAAGCATTCCAGATGGCAAAGACTGCAAAGACTGCGAACATGCACAGATTGGAAGAAACTAAGAGGCCACAGAAGTTGGGAAAAGCATTGAACCAGTCAGCAGGAAAACAACTAAAAAGCATGAGTAAGGCCTCAAAGGCCCTAACACGAGTGCATAAAGTAACTCAACAGCAGAGGAATAAGCAAGCGAGTTCGGACATGGATCTGGTAGACGGACAAGAAGGAACAGAGACCGTGGGGACTGAGACTGAGGAAGAAAAAGAAGATGAACAGGAGGATAGCATGGATGGGGAATGCATGGAGGATAGCATGGATGGCCCCTCCCTTGTCAAAGGTGGAGTCCAGTGAAACCAGAGAACTGCGGAACAGGGCGAGCCTGAGGGCCCCAGCGAGATACCAGCAGAGCGTCTTGAAGGCACAGAGACTATCGCTTTTCAACTCCCAGTCCGCGTTCGGGCTGTTTCCGAGTGAGCAACCCCCGGGTCAAATGCCCCTCATGGTCAAAGGGAAAGCCCTGCATTACGCACCCTGGAGCTTCATGGACCTGACAGGTCTGATCCAACAGTTACTTACTATGTGTGAAGGAGGGCAGAAATGGATTGTGCAATTTGAGGAAAAACATCAGGACAGCACCTGCCAATTGGTGACATTAAAGCCATTTTCTGCCAAACAGTGGGCAAGGGGCGGGCTGAAGAAATGTTCAATATGGCACAACATGGACATTTGATAGATGACCCACAAGCTGACGCCATCCCGTTTGACCTATATCGACAAGAAATATGGGACGCAGTGAGAAGCATGTATCCGGCAAAGATGGACCCGGGGAAACTCGAAAATATAAAACTGAAAGACAAAGAGAACATGATTACTTTCATTACTTTTAAGAGTTCCAAGAATGCAGGGATGCAGGGATGAAATGGGTGCCAAGTGGGACGATTCAGTGGCAAGTGTGGGACTGTTCAAGCTACTGCTGAAGAAGGATCTCCCAGGGAGGTTAAGAAGTTAGAAGCTATTCATAAACCAATAACAGATACATTACATTACATTTATTCACTTGGCAGACACTTTTAATCCAAAGCAACTTACAAGATAGCAACAATCCTTCAAATCGCACTCAGCACAGTACTACAAATTTCTTAGTTATCCACTCAGGACTTATGGGGTACATTGTAATATAAATAGAAGTCTTTTGAGGTCGACACATAATTCACTGCTACTGTAATTAAAAATATCTGAGAGAAGCCATCCTTTGGCATAATCCATGTGACAATGAAGGCAGTGGAGTTTACTATAAAAGCAAATAAGTGGAACAGTTTTTCTTGATGGAAACAGGTGGAAAAAAGGGAGGAAACACACAGCTCTAGCATCAGGATGGCTGAGCGGTCTAAGATGCCAAACTCAAGGTTCAGGTCTTCTCCCTGGGTAAAGGAGGTTTCTGGTCTGTAAATGGAGGTGTGGGTTCAAATCCGACTTCTGACAGGATTTTATTCCCTATGACAAAAATCCATGTGTGAATAATAAATTAATGAAGTATTTTGTACATATGCAGTAAATTAAAGATGAAGAAACTCAACACTGAAAAAGTTGAAATGAGAGGAGAACTTATTTATATGTAAGGTACTGTGCTGAGCATAGTAGTAGTTCAGAATGTAGCTTTCAGATAAATGCTGATAAATACACATTTAAGAGGAGTCGTGCAGCAACATGAAACATCAGAGCCGGAACGTTTCACCAGCCAATCAGGTAACACTTTCCTTATTAGTATTAATGAGCATTCCCCTGCCATCCTATGTTTCTGAAATTCACAAACAGTTTAGTCTAATCAGAAATCTGGTGATTGTGAATGTGAAGATTGGTCGTGTGACTGGTCATGAGACGTTTTTTTTACTTCACTGAGAATCATGCGAATTGGAGTTTGTGTTTTTGAGGGTTGTAGATGATTTAATTCTTGATGATCTCTGTGGAAAAATGAATGAATAACATGATACTTGAACAGAACTTGTGGTTTAATGACTCTAGAGAACAGTATTATTATAAAATTGTTGTTTTAGCACCTTTAATGTCTGACTCTCTCCTCATCACTCTCTCTTCCACATCTGCCCCACATTCTCACTGTGAACAAAGTGATTTCATTTCATTCTGAATTGTATTTTAAATTGTGAATCAGCACCTAATGCAGGATTAACATACAGATCCATCTGATCTTTACAGAACCACAAACTGCTGGTGGAGGGAAACTTAGAGCTCAATTTGAATTCTCCTCCACTGTACAGTTTCACATGTAACACACACATCCAGCTAAACATTTCACCCAGGATTAACAGCATAGCGCTAACAATACAAATACAGTAAAGACACCAGTCTTCAAAGCCTCCGTTTATTTACAATGATTTAAATTCATGAATAAAACGAATAGAGATAGAGATCTATGTTTAAACATATTTTTCTGATTTAAAATTCATTCTGTGGTTTATTTGTTTCTGGAAGTCCTGAACTGAAAGTTGTGGGGAAATGTACTATGTAATTATTTAAACTTTATCACATTTTTATTAAACTGAATACTTGTGAAGAAAAAAAAAGCTAGGACAATGCATGAGAAAAACAACTGGCCATAATTCAGTGACTCGTCGTAGTCACACGGTTTATCCCATCACATGAATTTGTAAAAAATGATTTTGCAGAAAAGCAGCTCATTGGGCCAGATGTTAGCTACAGAGTTAGAGACACTGGACAGTGTGTGTCCTGTCTGCCAGATTCAGTAGTGATAATCTGAAGTCAGTAGCCGTGAACCAATCAGAAATGGTTAAGCAGTAAAAATTCACTGTTGTCACATCTCAGTCACGTTAGTTGCTTCTTCAGGCTTTCCAAAGCAAGGAATTTTCTGTAGCCGGACCTTCATGAATGTGAACTGGCCTATTCGATAGCTTTTCACAGAAAGAAAAAGAAAAACGAAAGTGCAGAGCAATACTGACCTCCAACTCAGCACCACTGATAGGAAGTGAACAGAAGCAAACACACCGTCAGACACTGTAGTCGCTAATGCTGAGACACTCAGGGTCACGCTAATCGCAACAACACTCATATCACTTATTATTCACACTAATTCCAATAACACTGTCATATACATAGCCCTCTACTAATATTGCCTCTACTCTCATCCAAAAACAAACTCGAGCATCTTCAGTGTGCCAGACACTACTGGAACTTCAAATGGTCATTATACGGTCAGATGAAACCAACATAGAGCTTTTTGGTAATAAACTCCAGAGGTGGTTTTGGCACACACAGAGAGGTACTGTAGCCATATGGAAAAGTACCTCATGCCCACGGTTAAATATGGAGGAGGATCTTTAATGTTTTGGGAGTGTTTTTCTGCCAGAGGACCTGGACATTTTGTTAGGATACATGGCATCATGGATTCTATCAAATATCAACAGATATTAAATGAAAACCTGACTGCCTCTGCCAGAAAGCTTCAAATGGGCCGTGGTTGGATCTTCCAGCAGGACAATGATCCAAAACATACATCAAAATCAACACAGAAATGGTTTACTGACCACAAAATCAAGGTCCTGCCCTGACCATCCCAGTCCCCTGACCTGAACCCCATGGAAAGCCTGTGGGGTGAACTGAAGAGGAGAGTCCACCTGCGTAGACATCAAAATTGGATCTGGAGAGATTCTGTATGGATGAACGGTTTCAGATCCCTTGTCATGTATTCTCCAACCACATCAGGCATTATAGGAGAAGACTCAGAGCTGTTATCTTGGCAAAAGGAGGATGCAAAATGTATTGCCAAAAAAGGTGCCAATAATTGTTGCACACCTATATTTAACAAATGATTTTTTCATGATAAACCTGTGTTGTGTTCATTATTGTTGTTTGATATTCATGAGAGTATTTCTGCTAAATATTTTAACAGAAGATCAAAAGTTTAAACAATAAAGACAATTTTTCACAGCTTCTTTGCTCATATTTACCAAGGGTGCCAATATTAATGAAGGACATTGTAACTTATTATTCACACTAATCACAATAATAGAGTTATATCACATATTACTTAACCTTATTCTCACTATTGAATTACTGACATATTAAACACACACACACGCACACACACACTCACACACAAAAACACACCTGCTCTGCAGATTAGAAAATTAATCAGAGTGTGTGTGCGTGTGGTGTGTGTGTATGGGTGTGTGGTGTGCTTGTGCATGTGGTGTGTGTGTGTGTGTGTGTGTGTGTGTGTAAGCAATGTGTGTGGGTGTAGAACTTTTTCCATTTATTACTAACTGAACAAACAGCACAGTGTATAGAGTAGCTAAGAATGTAAAAGAAACAAAAGACAGGACTTAAAAGCACACACACACACACCAGTACACACGGTAAAGTGTGTGTGTGCTGGGGGGGTGCCTTTCACGATCAAAAAGCGGCAGAGAGAAAGAGAACCAGACTAAGAAATAGAGAGACATTGAAAGAGACAGTGAGAAAGACTAATAAATACAGAGGGAAAGACAGAACAGACAGACAGAGAGAGAGAGAGACAGACAGACAGACAGACAGACAGAGACATATTATTCAGGTTTTAATAAACATGGTGCACAGACGACAACAAGTGACCTTTGATTTCAAAGGTCAAAAGTCAAGACACTTATAATCTTTGTAGCACCATACACACACACACCCACACACACACACGCACACAGGAATAATAAATAAAAGTTACAAAATAAAACCCATTGTGACTGTACATTGTGGCTTTTCCATTTCATTAGATTCCCTTTTTACATTTTGTTTCAATGGAGCTAAGCTCTCTTAAACATTATGTTAGCATGGAAGTAGCTAACATTAGCCTAAACCAAAGAAATAATAACTGTAATTACAATATTATTGAATAAACATATATAACCGGGTGTATTTAAATTACACATGTAAACAATCTTTATAAGAATTGTAAATCTAAAACTTTTGTAAGCCGCTGCAACGATCCATTTTTATACTCGCGCTTCAACCACTGAACAGTTTGACGCATCAGAAGCCTTTCAAAATAAAAGTTCCCTTACGTTACATCAGTTCAAAACGTGAACACGTGTGTAAAAACAACAACAACAACAACAACAACAACAACAACAACAATAATAATAATAATAATTCCATAACATTACGCAAATGAAACATAACTATAAAAATCACTTTAGTGTTATTAACAAAGGCACAGAAAAAGAAAGAAAGAAAGAAAGAAAGAAAGAAAGAAAGAAAGAAAGAAAGATTCTTACTGTATTGGACAGCATCCTGCATCTTCTCCCAGACTCTGAACTTCAGGTTGTCCAGATGTTTTGCCACATGGATCAGTGGTACTGAAAGCTCCTCTGGATGCTGCAGTGTGCACTGAGCTCTGCAAAAACATTCAGGAGTCAGTGCTGCTGTGGGTTTGGAGTCAGAAACACAGAGAACGAGAGATACAGGAAGCACATCACTCACCTTTTCACTGTGGCCTTGTAGTTCTGTAAAACAACAAAGCAAATATCAGTGGATCTGATTGACATTTTTACACGACTGAAATGTGACGTTTCTGATGATGGAAAGAAGTTTGACTTTCTCACAGTATAAATACTGAATAAATGATCCTCACTTGTAAGAACGAGACGTCTTCAGCTCTCATCTCCTTTTCTACGCCTCTGATTGTGTCTGAAAGAGATGATATGTCTCTGCTCAGCTTCTCAATCTTCTCCTTCATCATCTGACTCTTCTGCTCCTCTTCCTCTCTCAGTGCAGCTATCCTGGCTGCCTCTTCATCTCGTAGAACCTGGTGAAGCTTCTCAAACTCCTCCTTAATCTGCCGCTCTGCGTGTTGGGCCTGAATCTGCAGTGAAGAGGAAATCAAATGAAATAGAACTGATTATGGAGTGATGCAAAATATCATTCTAATATCAAAACCATCTTATTGATTCTAACCTTTATATGTTCTGCAGTCTGACTCCAGTTCAGTTTACAGTCTTTAAAGATCTTCAGTTTCTCCTGTAGGGTCTTCAGAGCAGTTTTCAGCTCCTCCTGAAACAAATCAACACACTGCATGGAGACTCTGTGTTTAGTAATAGCTGTATTCTCTCTTACAAGCACTCATTAGAGCTTTTAAAATGCACCAAGTACAGAAGAAACAATGAAAAGTGTAGACTTATAGGATGTGGGTTTATTGGTGTACACTGCTTTAGTCTAACATGGAAGATCTGCTCCTGTTTATACAGGAGACACTTCAGATGCTGAAAATCTGAAGATGATGGAATAGCAGACTCACATTTGTTATTTTGTACAAAATTTATCACAAGGCAATTATAATTTATTATTTAATTATTACACTGTGTTTATATTGAACCTGTAGATATTGATATGTAGAATAAACTCTTTTTTACATGTACCCTTTTGCAGGAAATATTTATTTACCCTTACGATCTGTTGATGCCTCATCAATGGGGCAG